GCTACTTCAATATATGTGGACACTGATGAGGCAAAAATGCAGGCTTCTCTCACATTCATGCATTGATGGACGTGGATTAGAAGTACCGGATGGGGTATTTGTATCCTCTTTTTTTAATCAATCAGCCAGGCCTTTCTTATGTGCATCTTCTTAGTTTTGCTAGAAAGGCACTCATTTTGAACACAGTTTACAGTAATTTCAGAGCTATTAACGAGCATATGTGTGTTTGTGTGTGGAGGAAGTAACTCTTTGCCTCACCTATAGGTGAAGAATCTTGTGGGGCCTGAAAATTCCTCCTCAGGTCAAGCTGGACAAGCCAAAATCAGTGAGAATGAAGAACTGACATCAACTCTGTTTATTAGAAGAGTTATTTAAAGCTGTCAGCTTGTAGTTCCACTTATTTTTACAGTTCAGTGGTGCTAATAACTTTTAAAAACCACTCTTAATTCTTTCAGACAGACAAATTGACTCCCTTCTCCCTGCTCCAAAAACTAACTTCTCATTTTCCCTAGAATCTCAGATTTTCTTCCTTCTCCTGTCAACAAAATGTAAATGATTTCAGCTTAAGCGTCTCAAAAGTATCATTGGTAATAAATAAAAATTACGTTTTCCCCCCTTCCAAGTACCACTTAATGAATTTTTAATGTTTGTTCCAATTTAATGTAATCAATCACTTGCTATCTGCACGTTGATGATGCAACAGTAACTCAATTAGCTTACAGAAATCCATATGTACTAGGAAAAGAAGAGGTTTAATTACCTCTATTTTTAGGTTCAGATTCTTTTTTTAAAAAATCCTAACACAAATGGAAGATTACAAAGGAGCCTAGCGAGAGGGAACTCTCATACTTACAAAGATTTAAATCTACTGTGCTATTTAGTAATTATTTGAGAAACTCTCAAGATAGGAAAGCAACCTCTTCATGGGGTCAAATTAAAGCGATGTTTAACACATCAGGGTATTTTTTCAAATGGCACAAAGGATATGTTTGTCTCAGTATATGATTTTCCTCAACTCTGGATCTCGCAATTGTTTTCTGATGGTGAACAGTCTTTGGAAGTGATGCCCAACAACTTCTGGAATGCTACAGTTGCTTTATGTGGACTGTTTCTACAACACCTTCAACTGAGATGGGCACGAACTGCCGGTTCGGTGCTTCGTGCCAGTTCGTATCTCAGCTGAACATGTGTTAAGCACTTCCTAGCCCTGCCCTCTCTGAAACGAAGTCACATAGCGCCATTTCAATATATGTGGACACTGATCAGGCAAAAATGCAGGCTTCACTCACATTCTTGCATTGACAGATGTGGATTAGAAGTACCGGATGGGGTATTTGTATCCTTTTTTTAATCAATCAGCCAGGCAGCACCAGCTTCCCTGCCACGCCTCCTCTGGTACCTCAGTGGGCGCCCACTGGAGGAGGCGGGGCTGATCACGCCAAACATCTGTTTGTCCAAGAAATGAACCAGCGTGAACTGATGAACCAAGTAGTTTGTGCTCATCTCTAATCCTGGTAGAAAAGGTGCATTTTAAGAAGGTGTGGCAAAGACAGTTATGCTTTCCCCACCAAGGACAACTTCCAAAGAGACCTCAGTGTTCCCTAGAACATGGCTTCAAGACCCAATGGGATATAGGGATCTTTGTACAACAGGCAGCTGTCTGATCAGCCGTAGGTTGGTTTATCCCAACCTACAAGTAAGGAGCAACCTGAAGTAACTATCAGGATGCCTCAGGACTCCAGAAAGCATTGTAAAATGAACTATTGAGGTAGGGTTGAAGGCAAGTAGCCGGTGGAAGTGAGCAATTCGAGGACAGGCGATGACTTCTAGACTACTACAACTCTTCATCTGTAGGTGCTCCCAGGTCCATCAAAAGGGTGAAACCAGATTTGGAGAGGGCATCAGACATACTTATGACATGTGCATGATCAGCCTTCCTCTGACAGTTTGTTTCCCATCAGATGGGAGGTAGCATAGAAGACAAGATTTTCAAGGTGGCTCTGTGCATTTAGACGGATCCCAAGATACAGCAGTTAGACCGAGGATACTTTTCCTCCTGGCACAGAAACATCTCCGGTGGAGAAACGTCATTTGGTTAATGTCCAGGTGCCTGGCTGCTCTAAGCTTAAGGGCCTTGCCAGAAGTAAAGATGTCAATTGCAGGTACAAATCCATGCCTCTTCTTAAAGGCCACTAGTGGGTGATGCCAGCAAAAGGATGGGAGATGTAATGAAGACAGACAGCCTCCAAACACAAGTCTTTTCCATAATTCATTTTTTTTTAATGTCCCGGAGATGGACGAAGCAAAATGGACGAAACAAGAGTCAAAGCTGATGCAGCAAACTCACAAAATAAATAAGCCACCAAACGCACAACACAAAATAATGTCTCCAGCAATGTACCATGGACAGCAGCATGCACATCAATGAATACTTACATAAATGTCTGCACCATAAAATCCATCCTGGTAAACAACACTGCAAGGATGCACACACAGAGAAAAACATCCATATTAGTGCATTTCCACATGCAAATGCCGCCAACCCCTGAATTCTTGAGGTTAGTCTCGTCACACAAAAAGAAAACAGAAACAAAACAGGGGGAAACCAAACCACTGAGGTGTCAAGAGAAATAAAGGTAAACATAAACATGTTCATAGGGTGGGGCATATTGTCACACTGATCATGAGTTGGAAGGTTCATGCTCTTCCCCTTTCTTTGATAAGGAAAGCTTTTCTCCTAATTTTTACTTTCATTTTCAACCCGAGTCATCAATAGCACAATGAGCTCTCCTTCACAGGTACTCGGTGTGCGTCTCTCGTCCAACATCGTCTATACCCCTCATTGACCATGAGACCCAACACAGCACTGATTGGATTGGTTCAAAGGCCCTGAAACAGCCTTATGAATTGTGGTTGTGGATGCTTTCACAAAGCTAACTACACAGAAAGAGAGAGAGAGTGTGTGGCTTTTTGGCTCTTGCTGTGGATGATGGGATTTAGCAACTGAACAGATGTCCGGCACTGCCCAGCCCTGCCTCCTTTGGCAGCCACCCATTCAGAGGCAGTGCCCAGAGGAGGCAGGGCAGGGAAGCCGGGACACCGCCTCTGAGTCGGAGCCTACTGGAGGAGGCGAGGTTGGGTAGTGCCAAACACCTGTTTAGCCGCTAAATGAACTGGCATGAACAGACAAACCGGTGGTTCATAGCCATCTCCAATAACAACCCCATGCTGGTATTCCTTCTGCCTTTTCCAGACACATCTTGGACAGGAAAGATGCTTCATGCTTATTTTAAGAAGGGGATTTTTTGATTTCTTGGATGACAAATACTATAAATCCTCGTTCTGGGAGTTCTACCTGTCTCACACATACCTGACAGATGCCTAAACATGGGTCACCTGGGAAAAAGACCTAAACTGGAAGCCTCTGAAGCCTTAGGTCCACTCATATGTCCTCTTCTTGCAACAGTACCTAGCTAGGAGTTTTCTTTCTGAAGAGGAATGAGGAGGCAGGGCAGGGAAGCCGGGACACCGCCTCTGAGTCGGAGCCTACTGGAGGAGGCGAGGTTGGGTAGTGCCAAACACCTGTTTAGCCGCTAAATGAACTGGCATGAACAGCCTTAGGTCCACTCATGTGTCCTCTTCTTGCAACAGTGCCTAGCTAGGAGTTTTCATTCTGAAGAGGAAGCTAGCCATAGCTAGGTCTAGATAAGCCTCAAAGCTTTCCAGCTTAAGCTTTTTCCTCTCAATAAATCCCCAAATCCCTTCCCTAATTTCTTTGGCTCTGTTTCCCTCCCCCCCCAAAAAAACACACACCCTGCAAAAGAAAAAAAAATGCCATTCTGTGCTGAGATTGGAATAATCTTGCTAAGTATGCCTTTTCCTCCAAGAGAGAAAAATATATTTTCAAGAAACGTCTGCTAAAGTTCATGAGATCTTCTCAGGATTTCTCAGGGAAAGCCTCATGTGGGGCAAAAAATTGCTCTAATGGGGAAAAGAACTGTATCTCTGAGGCTGAGAAGCGATGAGATTGACATCCCTATACAAAGATGAAGAATAGCTTCTGCAAAGGTCTAAATCGATAAGGAAAGACGGAAAGAACTGGGCGCTAGAGAAAAATATATTTTCAAGAAACGTCTGCTAAAGTTCATGAGATCTTCTCAGGATTTCTCAGGGAAAGCCTCATGTGGGGCAAAAAATTGCTCTAATGGGGAAAAGAACTGTATCTCTGAGGCTGAGAAGCGATGAGATTGACATCCCTATACAAAGATGAAAAATAGCTTCTGCAAAGGTCTAAATCGATAAGGAAAGACGGAAAGAACTGGGGACTATAGCCAGGAGTAAAGAAGACTGAGGGGAGATGGGAGAGCACTCTTAATAATTGAAAGGTTGTCTTCCAGAGGAGGGGCAGGCTCTGTTCTTGATCATCCCAGACAGCAGGACACGTAATAATAGGCTCAAGCTACAAGAAGCCAGATTTCAGCTGAAGATCAGGAAAAATGTTCTAACTGCTAGAGCAGTACAACAATGGAACCAATGGACCTCTGGAGGCAGTGAGCGTTCCAACATTGGAGGCCTTCAAGAAAATATTGGACTACCATCAGTCAGGTCTGATGGTTGATGGTCCACTGGGTCACAAAGAGTCGGACGTGACTGAACAACTAAACAACGACTGAGCAGAGGGTTGGACACTATGGCCTCATAGGCCCCTTCCAACTCAAAGATTGTATGACTATGATTTTATGAGTCTATGATTAAGAGAGATAGCTCTCTTGAGGTAGTTCACATTGCTAAGCCAGTTTATAAAGTTATTAATCAGCTAGTACAGTGGTTCCCAGCTTTGGATGTTCTTGGACTAAAACTCCCAGAAGTCTTCACTATGAGCTGTTCTGGCCAAGATTTCTGGAAGTTGTAGGGTTGTAAATCTTGGGAGTTGTAATCTTGAAAGTTGTAAATGCACTAATATGGATTTGGAGCCACTGCAGTAGTAGATTATGGATTCATCTTGCACGGGTGTAAGGTATTTGTTAGGGGTGCTTTAGATGCAAATTTCCTGCTTCAAGAGGAGGTTCGACAATTACCCTTGGATGACCATCCCAGCTCTACAATTCTATAATTCCATGATTGTGTGTCTTAGGATAAAACAGTAAGCAACATACTAAGAAAGCATTAGGACTTACTGCTCTTCTAAATGCTAAAATATATGTTATATTACTGAATTTATTTTTTTCCAGCTGCATACTTCCCCTGAAATCTTGACAGTCTCCATAAAGCCAAAGACTGAACTGCCTGGCTGGTTGAAAAAAAATCACTGTCTCCAGAATTGATGCAGATCTTATTGTAAATCAAAATTTCAGACACTGGACTGAAAACCAGGTGCCACATCCAATTATGTGCAGTACTGCCCTTTGAATATGTCGTCTCATGTACTAACTTATTTATCCCTCTTGTTCTCAATGCCTTCCCATACACAAGCTACTCTAAAGTGGGATTATAAACATCTTGAGATGTTGACTTTATTTGTTTCAATGCAATGGTTAAAAAAAGCATATGGTAATTCTGAAAACAACATATTGCATATTATGTATTTATACTTTTTCTCTCTTTCCAACATACTATCAACTGTTGCTTTCGCACTATAATAACTGTATCTATTCTCCATTCATCAAAATGATTGTCCTATGTACCTGTCCAATACTCTAGATTTTCTTAAAATACAAGTTTCAAGAACTGGGAGTCACATTTCCCAGTTCAGTAACACTACATATTACAGGTTCTTAGGAAGACAAACAAACAAAAATGTAGGGATAATGACCGGTAAGAGGGGATCAGAATGAAATTCCCAACTATTTGGTGGCTGTTCTCTCTTCATTTTTCCCTGTGGCTAGGTGAAGCCTGATTGATCTGCTTAATGATATAATCATAGAAAAATGGATTTTTCTTGCAAAGAATCTGCCCCCAAGCACATCTGTGTGTTCATATGTAATTCTGCGGTTGCTGCTGTGCATCATCAAGTCGCTTTCGGCAACGCCAGTAGGGCTTTTGAACTATGTGAGAAGTTCAAGGAATGATTTGCCATCCCCCACTCGGTGAGCCTACATCAGTGAATAAGCATTTGAACTCAGGTCTCCTAGTATCAAATTCTACCCCAAACACTATACTGCCTCCTATGGAGCTGTTAGTGTAAGGCAGGAACACACAGAGTTGGAAAGTTGCCCGTTTGGAATTGCAATGCTGTTGATCCATAGAAAACCTGGCTAGGATTCCCTACTGGGAAAGTCTTTCTCATGGTAACACACTGGGCCACTCAAAAAAACCACAGGGAAATGTGTACAAGGTTTTGAGCTCTCAAGAGACATGCCGGCAAAAAGCTACAAGAGATTTCTGAAGATCGTGAAAGTCTGCATGTATACAAAGATCCGGCTACTGTCTATTTATTCACACTTTGTTATACTGCTGGAGGAACAGTATGTTCCACACCGGTGAGAGTGGAATAGCTGAGTTGGTGAAGCCAAGCTGACTGCAACTCAGTCCTCCCAGCTGGATAGCTACACCCCTTTGCCTGGAGGTAGGGCCGGCTCTTCTGTCAACAGCCTTTACAGACCTGAGTTCTGAAATGCAGTAGCTCTTGTTCTGTGCTTTTTGTATATCATGGCTTTCTTCCATTATTCTGTTATAACGGCAGGCACATGGGTTCCTACCGCAATGTTGCAATGTAGTGTGATGAAGAAACAAGGGCATGCTGCTGAGTTAATTTTCAGTGGTGAGATTAATCTAACCTCATTCGGGCTGAATGCACCTTTTTTTCTTTCACTTTTTCCTGGGATTGTGAATGTCGGACATATATTGGGATTGTTAAGGGCACCACACAAGTAAGAGCAAATTTCTATTCTCCCACCTACACACTGTGTGTGTGTGTGTGTATGATTGTGTGCGTGCAGGCAGGTTGGGCTTTACTAGTAAAGGTCTCTCCTAAAGGAGGCTTATTTAGAATAGAGGGGTAAAGTTATT